TTGATTAGCACACATAATGTAGCAGGGCGGGGGGATACGGGTAAGGCAGTATAACACAGAGAAGACAAGTAATGATGCTATAGCATCTTAGTATGCTGATGGATAGTGACTGTAATGGGGTATGTGGTGGGGACTTCATAATAGGGGGAGTCTCATAACCGTAATGTTGCTCATGTAATTGTACATTAATAATACCAAAAGAAAAAGAAAAAAAAGACTCATGTGCCATGCCGAGAGATTCTGAGTTAATTTTCCTGAAATATTACCTGAGCCTGAATAGTTTAGAAGTTCCTCAGGTGATTCTAGGAGGGAGGAGAACCACTTTCCCAGTTCCACTCCATTAGGTAACTATGAAAAAACAGAGGTAAAAGGCCTGTGAGGGGAACAGCGCACATAGATGTAATAAAAGAGCTGGGCTGAAAATGAAGATGCTTCTAATTCCTGGTTTTAACTTCCAGCCTTGGTGAATAATTGGAAATATCCTTGTGCTCAACATTTAGAGACTAGGTAGCAGATGATGGTGGAATAGTACAAGTGCATCCAATAATTGATATTGAAAGGATATCTGTGGACAAGGTAGGACGTAGTGTGTACACATTAATGAGGACAAGTGCGACAGTGGTGTGTCCCTTGCTGCCCTTATTGAGAGAGTCCCAACTGAGACTGTTGGGTTTGCCCCTGAGAGGGGCATGGTTCTCCCCTTGTGCTCTGCCCCACTCCCTACAGTGGCCATGCCTCCCATCTCTATTGTGGGGGTGAGGTTATCAATGCCCAGGACTGCTGAACCACGGGCTGCCCATGCCCAACAGTGATGAATCAGAAGAGTCTATGTTTTAAAAAATTGTAAAATATATACAGTATAAAACTTACCATCTTAACCATTTTTAAATGCACAGTTCAGTGACATTAAGTATATTCACATTGCTGCACAGCCATCACCACCATCCATCTCTAGACCTTTTTTATCTTTCTCAACTGAAACTTTCCACCCATTAAATAATAAATCCCCATTTCCCTCACCCCAGGCCCCAGCCTCTGGCAAGTACCATTCTACCCTCTGTCTTTGTGAATTTGACCCAGGTGCCTCATATAGATGGAATCATATAACATGTGTCCTTTGTGGCTGGTTTATTTCACTTAGTTTAATGTCTTCAAACTTAACAGTTCATTTTTGAGAATAAATTATTTCTTGTCTCTCTTCTAGTCCTTTGTTCTTTCCACCAAAGTTCCTTTTCCTTCCAGGTGGAGGATCAGCCCACCCTCCTACTGGTCCTTGCTTTTCTATTCTAGCAGCGGCCCTGTGTTTTGCTGCTTCCTGTCTAGGTTCAGGCTTATCTAGTGAGCAGGAAAGGAAAAGCCAGTTCTGTAAACTTGTGTCTGAAACTTGTTAGTCTGGAGTTTTGTTTTGTTTTTGCATCTTTGTTTCTGCTTTAGTGTGGACTTGGGGAGGAAAGGGAACTCTTAGGGAAATAAAGTACATAATCAAATTGATATGTGGACACATATACCTGCCTCAAGTACAAAACTGGTAGATACCCTTATTAGAAGAATTGAGGAAGTTACAGAATTTTATCACAAGTGGTATGTTTTAATTATAAGGGAGTATTGTGTACTGGTGAAGTTTATGAACTCTGGATCCAGGTTATCTGAACTTGAATTCTCCCACTAATACTCCACCTCAACACCCCCCTCACAGTTTTATTGAGATGTAATTGACATACAGACCTGTGTAAGTTTAAAGTGCACAACATAATGACTTGAATTACATATACTGTGTAATGATTACCACAATATCTAACACCTTTTAGTGGTATCTCCTGGAGTAAGTTACCGAGCTTCTCTGTGCCTCAGTTTTCTCCTCAGTGGAAAGGGTATAATAATAATAACAGTACCTATCTTATAGATCATTGTGAGGAAACAATGAGCAATGAAATAAACAAAAAACTCAGAATATTTTTATTTATAAAAATAAAAGTATTTTATACATATAAAGTATTTACAATACCACCTGGCAAAAAGCAAGTACTGTGTGAGTGTTAGATATCAATACTTTTTGGTCAGTGTTATCTGTCACCCCAAATTTGGTTAACCATATAAGAAAAAATAGTTTTAAAAATTCAAGATAGCATTATCATAATAACCCCAAATTAGACACAATGCAAAGTCCATTAGTTGACATGGTGTGTCTTTCAGTCAAATACTTCTCAGCAATAAACAGAAACAAGCTGCGGAATCATGCATCAACACTGACCTACCTCAGAAACATCTTGCTGAGTGAAAAACCCTAGGCACAGAAAACTACATAGCATATGATTCCATTCGTATGAAAATTCTAGAAAAAACTAAGCTATAGAGAGAAAAACAGGTCAGTGGTTGTCTAGGCTGTGTATGGGACCAACAATTCACTGCAAACTGGCATAAGGGAATGTCTCATGATGGAAATATTTTAAAACTGGATTTTTGTGATGGTTACCCAACTGTATACAATTACTAAAACTCATTGAATTTCACTTAAAATAGATGAATTGGTGGTATGTATAGTATATTTCTATAAACTATAAAAAGAGATGAAAAATAAATTTAAACTAGAGATTCATATATGTTCTTCAGTTGGGTTCTCACTTTATAAAAAGAAAAAAAAACTATTGGTTTTATAAAAATAACATGTTGATTGTCAGGAGACACTTCTCCATATGTCTGTCGAGTGTCTGCATGTCTCATAAGCAAGGTTCTGGCTTCCCTTTGTTCCAGATTCTTTTCCGAGATGTCTGTGTAGTGACCAGTATTTGAAGACAGAAAAAGCATCTCCCTCTAGGGCAAAAGGCAGACATACTTGCCAGCATAATAAAGAGAATGTGTGCCTCTGGAGCAAAGGGCAAGTATGCTTAATGCTCATTATAAAATGTTCAGGTTCCCTGAGCTCAGTGTCCCTTTTTATAATGCAACTATGTTTGTGCAGGGGTCACCTGGTCCTCTTCATGTTGCCCTATGGGAATTGCAGGTTGGCCTCCCAGTGAAGAATATGCTGATGCTCTGGCTTCTGCTATTGCTATGGGTAATAAACTTCTTTGATTCTGACCCAGGAGTGTCATGTCTTGTCACCATCCATGAAACTGTAGCAGCCTACCTTGTTAGCTTGCAGGCAGGGTAAAATCTCTGACCCTTCATAGTTATTTTGTGAGTGTGTGGTAAAATATACTTAACATAAAATCTGCCATTTTAAACATCTTTAAGTGTAAAGTTCAGTGTCATTAAATGTGTTCATCTTGTGAATCCATCACCACCACCCACCTCTAGAAATTTTTCATTATCCCATATTGAAACTCTACCCACTGAACACCGGCTCTGTGTTCCTTTTCCTTGCAGCCGCTGTAACCACCATTCTACTTTCTGTCTCTACAAATTTGACTACCTTAGGTACCTCATACAATATCTGTCCTTTGGCATCTGACTTATTTCACTTAGCATATTGTCTTCATAGTTCATCCATGCTGTAGCAAGTATCAGGATTTCATTCCTTTGTAAGGCTGAAAAATATGCCACTGTATGTCTTTACAGTTTTCTCAACACTATTTTAAAAAACAGAAAAAAATACGAACAAGAAAAAAAAAGGAAAATGAAAAGAAAATACCTCACCATTTGGGAGTTATTGACATTGCATGAATATCACTCTACACATCTATTTAAGAATAGACAGAAAAGTAGGTAGACAGAAAAAACATTAGAAAATGGTGTGTGGGTCTTACTTTCTAATACTAACCTAAAGCTCTCAAGGACTATAAGCACAGGTAGACTTCTGGGCTTAGATAGAGACTTGGCTACTCCAAGAATCCATCCATCAGCTGACCTGCTCCAGGGAAGACGAACAACAGCAGCTAAGCAGCTGATAGTTGGCTACACTGACTCATAGCCTTTGTTTGTTCCCATCTTTAAGTAGTCCTTAAGTCTAAGGAGTCTATGTACACTGTATTTTCCACTTTTCTTTGTTCAGCAATTATTTATTCAATGCCTATTATGTGTCAGGAGCTGTGCTAGGTACTGGGAATACTTAGAAGATTCCCTTCCTGCCATCAAGTAACTTACAATACAGAAGTAGACAGAAAAGTGAACATATAATTTACATATAGTATGAAGGACTTGTCATCCTACAGGATTAGGGAAGTCTTCCAGGAGGAGATGGCATGGGGACTTAAAGGACTGGAAGTTAAGAAAATGAAGAAATGTGCATGTGCTGGGCACAAATAAGGGGAGAGGAGAGTAGAGAGGAGCAGCAGGTGTGAAGGAACTGAGTGAAGCATTAGATACCTGGCGTTTGTGGAAATACAATTTCCTGTGGCTGGAACTCAGGAGGCAAGAAGGAAAGTAAGAGTCATGGGATTATGCAGGTTCAGGTGGCAGAGATCCCTTTATGCTGTGTAAAGGAGGGAAACTCGGAACAAGCTGGCTGTAAGGAGCCACTGAAGGTTTTAAGTAGAAGAGAACAATGCTCTTTGCTTGAACATGTTCTCACTCATTCCAGAGCTGCAGCCCTAATTCTGGCACTCAGTTCTAGTGCCCAGTTGCTATAGCACATCTTAGTCTATACCCAGTCTTTCTCAGACAACGCACCCTTAGTGCTAATGAATGAATGAACTACAACTTTCCATAGATCTTTGGCAAATCCCCTACAATGTATCTACTAGGGCTAGAATTGAAGAGTTTCATGAATTGTTTTTGGTTCTGGTTCTAGGTGCTAATACCATTGTCTGACATACTGATTGGGCCATCTCTCTTCTCAAAATACAAGATTTTTAAGTTTTATCATATTTCTGGAAATTCAAATCAGTTGACAAGCATTAATGAATAATGAAAGGGCAATATTTTAGTCCAGGTCACACAAAGATCCTAGCAGATCATAGGAAGGTAAAAAAATTGACCAGCCTTGACCTCCAATGAGTTCTGCACAGTGGTATAGAGGGCATGTCAAAGTGTGGGCAAAGGGTCTGTTTGTTTCTATGCAGAAGATCAAGGCCTAGCTTGGATACCCAGAAAATGAACTAAGATACGATCTGAGGAGGAGCTTCCGGCATCAGCACTCTCTGGAGGACTTGTGCCGGGGGATGATCATCAAAAAGCCTCCACAGGGATCTGGGCGATGCTGCGGTTGTGGCTGCATCCACCCCACCGTTTCCTGGACTTGCCATTGGAATGGGGAGGGAGATGTCTAGGCTGGCATGTGCATACAGTGAGACAACGAATTTAACCAGATCTGTACTGTTGGAACTCAACCAGGAGTTGGGAGG